TTAGCAATATTGCATGAAGATAGCGACATAGCACTTGTGAACGTGGGTTTATCATTCACGAACCCTTTGGGAGCAGCCTGGTAGACCTCCAGGAATATTCTGCTCAGCGTCATTAATTCAGAGTAGTAGCAATTTATTCCAAGTGTAGGAACACTTGTGCACGGTAGAGATAATGGGCACCTTATATGAGGTGTTAGCACCAGAAGCTAAATAAAGGCTTATGTCAAAATTTCTACTTTTTGATACCAAAGTAATGGTGCAAAACTCTCTCTGTGTGTGGCAGGTTCATTTTAAGAAGCTGGGTAATAGTAAGAAATTGGTTTTGGCTTATGTAATGAACTCAACAGGGTATATTTCTTACATGAGCCTTTTTTCCCCCTGTGCACTTCCTCTTGACCTGACTGAAAACAGGCTGGTTAATGAACTGTGTAATCTCTTAAGAAGTTCCCACATTGTGTGGAAGAAGTTAAAACACTCAGCTGTTCCACAGGGCAAGTTTTGAGCCCTCAGGAGTGGCAACCATGGAGCATGGCAGGCCCCACACATGCTGGGTGCCAGGGCAGGGACCGCAGTGTACAACCCAAGTGTCTCATCCCTCCTTCACGGGCCGTAGTGAGTCTGTGGCAACAGTGTGGAGCGTGAGCTCTGTCACGGCCTGACAGCCGTGGTGCGGTCACTCGCCCTGCTGTGCCTGTGAGGCTGGTGGAGCTCCATCCAGTCCATCTCCAGTGCTGATATGCCCTGTGCTACCTACACAAACCTAGTTCATGCTTCAAGTCTTCATTTTCCACAGTGAACATACAGCTTTGGCAGTGGACAGAATGTATTGACTCATTAACCTCTTGTGTCTGCTACAAGTGGTATAACCAAAGCTGAGCTTATTAGGCCTGCTTAAGCAGGTCTTTCTGCTTTTGAAAGGATTGAGACCGGTGAGTGATGAGGCTGGACATAAAATGACAGTGAGCTGTGCCTGAAATTCTAGACTCTTAGCAGGGGGTTGTTTTTTTTTTTTTTAAAAAAAACACATTAAAAAGCCATCTGCTCTTATGTATTCAGAAGTCAAGAAAGGTGAGCTGTCTTCTGTGGTCTACAAAATGACATTCACAACCAACCAGCCACCAAAACACTAACATCTCTTGGGAGTGGCAATGATCACTTCTGCTATTTTCTGTAATCCAGCAGGAGAACTAAGTTGCAGAAAGTAATACTGAGGAAAGTGTGAAGGACCCTGAAATGCAAAATCCCTCAAACCAAAGCAGTCCTACCTTTTATTCAACAGCTGACATGGAAGAAGAAATTGTTATCAGAGGTGGACTAAAAATGGGATGGGGGGATGGAGAGAGGAGACCTGTGAAGGGAGAGGTACAGGTGTGTCACCGGGGAAAAATGGCAAACACCAGAGAGTGTGTTTGTGTGTGGCAGCAAATTACTGTTGGAGACTTGCATTTGGGTTACAAAACCTAGTTTCTGGGCGCTTGGTGCGCGCCTAAAACTTCGTCTCGTTCAGGGTACCGGGTGAGGCGCTCCAAAGTCCAGCTTCCCGATATTACCAGAAAGCCTTAGCAATAGCCGTTTAAGAATAGTAAAGCTTCCTTATGTATGCGTGCAATGTTTACCACTTACAAATCGCTTAATTTTATAACCTGAGCAAGTACAGTACTCTAAACTGTGTTTTGAAAACTGAAATGCAATCTGTCATCATGTAAAAAAATAAAAAAGACAGTTTAAGACTTGTAGTAGCCGACGCAAATGTTACGCTGCACACCAAACAAGGACGGGAATTGGGAAAAGCATCTTTCAGAGCACGGTGTCCTGGGTTCTGTAGTAAGACCCAAAATGTGGATTTTTACAAGTAAGCAGTTCTCAGGTATCCAGAGGTCTTGGCTGTGAATTTAACATGCAGCTGAACTTTCCTGACTGAACACTGTTTGCTGTGGTGACAGTCACACCTACCTGCCCTTGCACTGGCGGCACGGGCGCATGAGCACATGGATGGCGGTGAAGTCAAGGAGCACCTATGAGGGAGGCGTGGTTGCCTTCTTGTTTCCCAGTCACTGTAAAAGACATATTCTTTTATTTATTTGTTAAAATTGCCACGGGGTTAATATTTTTCTGAGCAACAGTTTGAAATTTTTTTTTTTTTTGCTCTCTTGCTTCATTGTGCTTTCGTCTTTTATCTGGCACTGCTAAAGCCTGAGCAAATATTTAAAATAGTGTATGAGGAGACAGGTTATGGAGAAGTTGAAGTTTGTGTTCCAAGAACAGTAAAACTTCGAATCTAGTAAGTCTAAGATTTTCTGCAGCAGGCTGCATGGTTGAAAAATTCTTGGTATTGAAGTAGTCTCTAAGCCCAGCTATTTGTAACACTTGAAAATAAAGTGGATGTAGGGTTTTCTAATTTGGCTGCGTTTCCGTGATTTGTACTGCGTTATCTCCCACAGCCTCTTGTGCATATAATTTGCCAGTACTGAAAGGTTTAAGCTTTTGCTGGAGTTTTTAATAAACATTAGGCTATATGTTCTAAATCATTTTGTTTGCAGGATTTTTTGATGGGTCTAGCATTGTTGGAATAGAGCCCTTTAGCAATATTGCATGAAGATAGCGACATAGCACTTGTGAACGTGGGTTTATCATTCACGAACCCTTTGGGAGCAGCCTGGTAGACCTCCAGGAATATTCTGCTCAGCGTCATTAATTCAGAGTAGTAGCAATTTATTCCAAGTGTAGGAACACTTGTGCACGGTAGAGATAATGGGCACCTTATATGAGGTGTTAGCACCAGAAGCTAAATAAAGGCTTATGTCAAAATTTCTACTTTTTGATACCAAAGTAATGGTGCAAAACTCTCTCTGTGTGTGGCAGGTTCATTTTAAGAAGCTGGGTAATAGTAAGAAATTGGTTTTGGCTTATGTAATGAACTCAACAGGGTATATTTCTTACATGAGCCTTTTTTCCCCCTGTGCACTTCCTCTTGACCTGACTGAAAACAGGCTGGTTAATGAACTGTGTAATCTCTTAAGAAGTTCCCACATTGTGTGGAAGAAGTTAAAACACTCAGCTGTTCCACAGGGCAAGTTTTGAGCCCTCAGGAGTGGCAACCATGGAGCATGGCAGGCCCCACACATGCTGGGTGCCAGGGCAGGGACCGCAGTGTACAACCCAAGTGTCTCATCCCTCCTTCACGGGCCGTAGTGAGTCTGTGGCAACAGTGTGGAGCGTGAGCTCTGTCACGGCCTGACAGCCGTGGTGCGGTCACTCGCCCTGCTGTGCCTGTGAGGCTGGTGGAGCTCCATCCAGTCCATCTCCAGTGCTGATATGCCCTGTGCTACCTACACAAACCTAGTTCATGCTTCAAGTCTTCATTTTCCACAGTGAACATACAGCTTTGGCAGTGGACAGAATGTATTGACTCATTAACCTCTTGTGTCTGCTACAAGTGGTATAACCAAAGCTGAGCTTATTAGGCCTGCTTAAGCAGGTCTTTCTGCTTTTGAAAGGATTGAGACCGGTGAGTGATGAGGCTGGACATAAAATGACAGTGAGCTGTGCCTGAAATTCTAGACTCTTAGCAGGGGGTTGGTTTTTTTTTTAAAAAAAAAACACATTAAAAAGCCATCTGCTCTTATGTATTCAGAAGTCAAGAAAGGTGAGCTGTCTTCTGTGGTCTACAAAATGACATTCACAACCAACCAGCCACCAAAACACTAACATCTCTTGGGAGTGGCAATGATCACTTCTGCTATTTTCTGTAATCCAGCAGGAGAACTAAGTTGCAGAAAGTAATACTGAGGAAAGTGTGAAGGACCCTGAAATGCAAAATCCCTCAAACCAAAGCAGTCCTACCTTTTATTCAACAGCTGACATGGAAGAAGAAATTGTTATCAGAGGTGGACTAAAAATGGGATGGGGGGATGGAGAGAGGAGACCTGTGAAGGGAGAGGTACAGGTGTGTCACCGGGGAAAAATGGCAAACACCAGAGAGTGTGTTTGTGTGTGGCAGCAAATTACTGTTGGAGACTTGCATTTGGGTTACAAAACCTAGCTTTTTTTTTTTTTTTTTATTCTGTGTCTCAATTTCACTAATCCTTATCCTCACGGGAGTGGGTCTCACAGGTCCCCACTGTCTCACAGGTTTTCACCTAAGTCAGGTCTGCCCACAGAGCTGTTGCATCAAATATATGCTACACCTTGCTCCATTGTGTTAGTATTATGTTGCCAACAGTTTCCTTTGCTGAGAATAGGCTTATCTGGCATTTTACTTTTTGGTGTGGGGGCTGATGGGATGCTTGCAGCAAAAATCTGTGAGGTTGAAAGAAGTTCAGATGTTCACTTATGCCTCGGTAAATGTTAACTGAGATGCTGTCACTTCAAATTTACTGTTCCTTGGATTGCAGCATGGGGAAGTCTTTCAGACCATTATTTTGCAGCAAGGACATCTGCCTGCAGAAGCAATGCAAAGTAGCATAAGGAGTGTTTAAAACCTAAGGTAAATTAATTTAAAGTAGATTAACAATGGTTGCATCTTTTCTTTGTTTTTCAGAATTGGTCTGGGAGTCTTATTGTAGCCTCTTTAACTGGTGCTTTTGGGTCGTCCTTTCTTTATGGTTACAATCTCTCAGTGGTGAACGCTCCTGCAGTGGTAAGTGACTGACAAAACTAGAGTTTAGTATCAGTAGAGGGCAGCCTTGTCCAACTACTGCGCTCTTCTCAACATCCTGCTTTTACAATCCTGACATAGTAGGAGAGGTTAAATCTCATATGGTAACTTTCCTTTGCCTGAATGCTTCTTTCTGCTGTCCATGAGGCGTTCACATAAATTCAGTAGCTGTCAGAAAACTCAACTTCACTGTTGAGGTGAGTGGTTGCAAGAGGTTCACTTCTCATTCTCCCCAGGCTCAGACCAATACTACATCTTCTTGCACACTTCTGCGTGTTAAGGTATTTTTAATATTGTGTCTTTCCATCTAGTGAGTATTTGGTAGCTCTGTGCACATGTTCAGCAACTTTTGTTTGCATGATTTAGTTCTGGAGGGTTGCACAACATTTCATTCCCACAGTGCTGATATTATAAATAATGCCTCTGGCTTCCTCTTAAATAAAGGGCCTCTTCTTTTGCATTTCGTGGTGATGCCTTGTTTGGTTCTGAATTCAAGACTGCTGTGTTGACCATCTGTTTGCTGCAACATACGGAATACATTTGATGAATACTGTGAAATCAGTGTACAATATTTGGGGGGGGATTTCATTAAAGTATCAGTTACCACAAATGGAAATCTGAACATTTTGTTTTGACACTGGCGGTCTAGAGATCCTCTTAATTCAGTCAAGCACAGCAATAACAATTCAGTGGAGTTGCACACAACACTATTTTGAAAAAGTAGCTAGTAAATTTAGGGAACTAACTTTGGAAATTCAGTTTCAAAATAGTTCCAAAGCTAAGCTGCTTCTTTTATGGAAATTTCTTATTAAAATAAATGTGTGGCTAGGTTTCCACCTAAACAGGTTGGTCACATTAAAGATAGATGCAATATTTATGCAAATAATGAAATATTTTTTTTTTACATTTATGTTTCATATATGTATTTTATTTGGTAAACTGATAACACAAGGGTCTAGGAAGAGACTCACCCTGTAGGAAGTTTTAATTGCCCCCTTTGTAACTTCTGGGAGTTTTCTTGAAGTTCCTGGTACTTCTTGTACAATAACACAGGGTTGGACGAGTTGGATATTTATTCTAGCATGACCTGTCTAGGCATCACTTCACCTTGCAGTCATCAGAAGGTAAACATGGCTTAGAAGAAATGATCAGGAAGCTGAAATTCTGTGATCAATGGTATTGATTGTCCTGATGGTAGACATCCTTCCTGTGCTGCCTCAGTACTGTCAAGAGAGCGGTGAGAATGATCTGGTGTCTAAACTTTTAAGTGCTGTTTAAAAAATGGGCTGTCCTAATAATCAGCACTCTCCTGTCACTTTCTACAGGAGTAAAGCCAAGAAAGGATGACAGGACGTGCTTTTTGGCAAACACTCAAGACGGTTAGGTTTGAACTATGTGATAGAATATAGTGGTGACCAGAGTGTGGGTGGGGAGGTTGAACTGTGCTGTGACAAATGCTAAATTCCAGGTGCTGTGGTTAGTAATGCTTTCGGGATTGTCCATTTTTGTTTGAAAACTTTACTGTTGCCTTTGGACTGAAACTGGGCACCATACTGATGTCTTTGGTCATACTGTTGACAGGTATGCTTGAAGTCTCCCTTTTTGCAGCATGGTATTTCAGTGTTTGATTTGGGAACTTCGTGGCTTTCTTATTCATGTTAAGCCATACATTAGCTAGGGCTAAGGAGTGGTCCTACTGACAAGGAATACATAGCTGTGTAGTTCAAGAATAAAATACCAGTGTGGCCTCTGGTCCTCTCTCTAGCTCCAGGGTTAATCTGTGTCATCCGTTTGCCTGGGATAGGCCACCTTCCTGTCTCTGTCCTTGGAGTTGCAGCGACCGGGTTGAAGGGAAGAGACTGGGCACTGCTCATAGGCATGGTGTGGAGGAGTGAGCTGTATCGAAGCTGTGCTCTGGCAGCACAAGAAAAGGAACCTTTGCCCCATCTGGTTTTCCCCTGTATATCAACAAATCAGTCTGCTGCAAGGTGACCCTTTGGGAATACTGATGTGAGGTGACTGAGGAAAACCGAAGGGGAGCAGCTTGAAGCTGTAGATGAAGAACAGTCTTGTAAGAGGTTATACTGGGAGTGCAGTAATTCCTTAAACTTGTAAGCTGAGTTTCATTTATAAACTTGGTAGGTCAAATAACTTGTTCTGGTGGTACGCAGTTTGCAGCCTTCATTGTATGGGCATCTCTCTGTGGGATGTTGGGTATCTTCTACCCCAGTTTACTTCATTCCTTTTGATGGGTAAAGTCCTCCAACCTTAGAGAAGGACTGTGTGATGCTTTGAGAAGTACTGGAAAAAATGCTTGAGAATGACTTTTGACTAAAACATGGGATGTTTCCAGGATCCTGGAACTGAACATGTCAGCATGGTGACTGAGCTGGGGAGGGAGGAAGTTCATTTAAGATTGAAGCGTTGAAGAACTGTTTGTAAATTCTTGTGTACATTTTCTTCTGGTGCTCCAAGTTGTGCCACCTCATCAAACCACAGAATACCCCTGCAGTTCTCACCAGTGAACTTTACTGCAGGTCATCTCGTAAGGTAGAGTCAGTCCAGCTTTCTTTTTCTTCCAAGGTGGGGAGAAGCTTCGCCAGCTCTGCTCAGAGCAGAGATCACTTCCCACTCAGTCCCCTACTTGGCTGTGGGAAAGAGCAGTGGCCCATTGGAGGTGTGCTTCCCCCTGCACACATCGCTTCACCGCACAAAAAACCCAGGGTTAGAAGTCTCCATGGGCTTGTTCAAAGAGTTACGAGAACTTATTAAAAGCATATGGGAGCATTTGACAGTAGGACGACAAATGCTTTAATTGAATACAAGTCGAAGCTGTCTTTTTCCAAGCTTGATTTCTACAATTCTGTGATTGTGGGCAAGCTCTGTAGAACAGCGATGTGCTTTGTGCAGGAAGTGAAGACTCTGCTATTTACTGCTGTGCGGAGGAGGCTGCAGCGCTGCGTTTGTTTTAGAGCTGCCATGGGGAAAGTGAGACTATTGCAAAAATGTATAGCCTGCTGTCAGCCAGTGCAGTAGTTATCATTCTGTATGAGTGACCCTTGTAACTAGGGGTAAGGTTATTTTCCTTTAAAGATCAGCTCATCTCTTCCCTTGTTGTAAGTTATTTACACTTAAAAGAGTCAAGGAAAATACTTCTATTATATTTAAAACATACCCCTTATATATATAAAGATATATACATCCCTTATATTCCCCTTGTATTTCCCACCCTAGCACTGCTACCTTAATGAACTGAGGCAGCAGAAGACAAGGTCCAGCTACCATTCCTTGTAGACTTTAGTTAGGGGACAAAATTTTTGTATACAGGTTTATGCCATTAATGTTGTTCAGACATCTGAATAAAATCCCAAACGAGCCTTTCCACAGAATTCAGTGCATTCAAATCCAGTGGATCAGACTTGTTTCATGTGCAACTCCACAAAACCTGCAATGTGCTATTAGCTTCTCATTTACTAGCAGTGGGAATCCAGACACGGGTGATGTACATGCCAGCACATTTATGTTACTATTGAGTGTTGTAGTTTGTACTTTCTTTTCTTGAGTATTTGCAGTCATTTGATGTCTTCTTGTAAATAACAAAGCAATGGTGAGAAAATTAGTCATTAACACAAGGGGAGAATAATTTGCATACTATTTTTAGCCATTATCATTATCAAGAAATGCTAATAGTGCTCTAAAAATGTTTTCTCTTGGTATTCATTACTATCAGAAATGAACTTCAAATAAACAAGATATCTGAATCTAAATATAATCTGAGTATTGATGTTAAAGAGGTAAGATGTATTTCTTGATTTAATGACACATTCATTTGGAAGTTTACTGTGAGATTCTTCTAAATGGACCAAGCACCAAATTGATTTTTTTTTCTTTTTTGTGTTTTTTCCTGACTCTTTGTATAGAAACATATAAGAGAGGATGGGAGAAATACCTGTCCTTTTAATTCAGGGCACAAGAGACCTACTAGAAACTTTACAGAAGGAAGGTAATAAGTGGTATGCTCTACCTCCACCTTTCTTAGGTACTTTGCAGGTGGAGAGGTGGTGTTTCAGACTAAACAAAGTCCTCAAGGCTGGAATACCTAAAGTTTGAACAGGGAAAATGTGCTGTTAGGCTTATACTGCTGAGTTCTGACCCAGGATAATTTAGTACCTATGACATGCTGGAGGAAATCTGAGAAGGAACTGGAGAAAAGTGCAAAGATGAAACTTTGTGGTACTGTAGAGCTTGTTGGCTGACACAGAATGTGTGAGAGCGTTACATGAGTGTGCTGTGCCCTTCCACGGTAGTGACCACCTGGTACTGTATCCATGCCAGAGTATCAGACACCACAGTGGCATCGGAGGTTTGCATGATTTCAAAATGGTAACAGCATAAAAATGAGGAGGCTTGACTAAAAAGAAAATAAATAGGTGATGTCTCTGCAAGTGATACAGAGACTATGTAAAGGTGTCATGCTGGAGCTGCCATCTTTGCCTTTTAGACAGACGACGAAACTTTGGTGTAATTAAAGATCAGGGAAGGGCAGTTGTTAGAAGGCAACCCTCCAAAAACCTGCAGTTGTGCTCATGTGAGGAAAGCAGAAAAAGAATATGAGCTCTGGTACATTGAAGGCTAAAAAAGTGAGCTGGTCCTGGAGTTTAGGTACTTACAGCAGATACAAAAAGAGTCCAGAGGGCTTGGGGATATAAGGCCAATAGATGAAGTTGAGAAAGGATGTTCAGAAAATACAAGGACGAACAAGAAACCTCAATTACTGTTTTGAATTGGAAAAGTCTAGGAAGGTCACATGCTGGAAACTTCATAAAGAAGAATGTGTTGGAGAAGCTGAAATGTCAGTAGAGATATGGAATAAAATTAGCGATAATTTTGTGTCAAGTTGCTGGAATGCCTCAACATTTGTTCAAGACTGAAAAAATAACTGAAAATGTAGGCTTTCTATTGCAGTTCAGCTTCTTTTCAAAAAACCTCAGTAACAGAGAGACTGAGAGGGTTAATGTGATTTTAAGAAGAAAGTTTTTAGGGGGAAAACTTGGAACATACATGCTAAGAATTAATTATTTGTACCTGACAAGATAGTAGAAACTGTAGTGGAAAAGAGAATTTGGGGAAGAGCTGGCATGGCTTTTGCAAAGGAGAACTGTAATTTGAGCATCTGTCATAGTTATCCAGAGATTCAAGAGACACTTGGACTTTCAAAAGATGCCCTGGAAGGGCTTTTATGGAAGGCTCTTAAGCAAATTAAGCTGCCATGAGAGAATAGTGTAGGTCTCAGATAGCTGAAGAGTTAGAAGATAGGTCTCAGGTTTTCATTTCTTAAGAGATCCAGCTTGTCTGGCAGGTAGATTCATATCAGGGTCTTAGGTGTCTGATTTCATGTTTGATACATGTTTTATTACTGAAAAGAAATTGCTTACCCTGTTTATCAACCTGAACTTGGTGCAGAAGGCAGCTTATGTAAATTTGAAGAGGAGAAGCCTTAACATATAGAAGTGATTTGGAATTCTGAATTTTAACAGTGTCAGACAACTAGCTCTTTTTGACTAATATTGTGGGCCTTTTTTTTCCCCTAAAAAAGTATCAAACCAACAGCTGTCAGATCTTGCCTTCCTCCTCTAACAGATATTTGTCTTGGCTGTAAATTCTTTTGGAGAAAAATACTACCTTTCATTGCTTGATTTAGTAGGTCCTTGATTTTGTATGGCTGCCAGATGTGGCAGTGTCATAAATACAGTGCAAAAGTGGACACAGACTCCCTTCTTCTCTCAGTCCATGAATGCTAATTGTTTTCAACTCTCTTTTTTCCCTAGTGTTATGCTAAAGAATTTGTAGAATCACTCACTTTCACATACTGGCCCTTTGGAAAAAACAGACTATTGAATGGCACTTAACTTTGAATAAATCTGAGATCTGCATTCTAGGACTGAAACACAAAATAGAGATGATAAATGTTGTTTCATGGTGAGCACGGTGTAGGATTTTGCCAAAAGGATTCCTACTTCTATAACTTTTAAGGCATCTTTAAAAATTTTCCAGAGAATTTCTTAAGTTACATGTGACCTCCTCCACACATACCCAGACCTATCAACAGAAGGCTTTTGGTGCTGTGTCCTTGTAAGACAAGCCAAACTCTTAATGTCAATCATGTTGCCATCTGGCAGGAATTGATTGTAACTCTCTTCCTATTCATTACCTTTGCATTTCTACCAATTCACCAACTTCTTCAAGGCATTTTTGCCTCTGTCTGCTACTGGAGCCTCCTTTCCTTCCTTAGTTCCAAGTTACTGGCACTGCAGAGCCATGAAAAAGATGTAAAACTGTTTGCGGTATTCTAGTATAAGCCCAGAGGACAACTGAGCACCATGCAGCTGCTCGCTCGCTCCTTCCCTCTTAGGGACGGGGAGGAGAATATAAAACAAAAGGCTCAGAGATCGAGACAAGGACAGGGAGGGATGACTCACCAGTTAGGGTCACAGGCAAGAGACAGTCTTGATTGGGGAGTGAAAAAGAACATCAGTTTAATTTGAATCCCACCACCACCACTAATTTACCAATCAGAGTAGGACAGTGAGAAATTCAATCACATCTTAAAAACACCTTCCCCCCACCCCTCCATTGTCCTGGACTTAACTTTATTCTTGATTTCTCCACTTCCTCCCCGAGGTGCTGCAGGGGGCAGGGGATGGGGGTTGTAGTGAGTTTGTCACCTGTTGTTTCTGCTGCTCCTTTCTCCTCGGGGTGGGAGGGACAACTCCTCACAGTTTTTCCCATCTCCAGCGTGGGGTCCCTCCCACAGGAGACAGTCCTGCATGAACTTCTCTGACGTGGGTCCTTCCCAGGGGCTTCAGCTCTTCATGAACTGCACCAGCGTGGGTCCCTGCCCCAAGCTACAGCTCTTCAGGAACAGCCTGCTCCAGCACGGGCTTCGCTCAGTCCCGGCCTGCTTCGGGCACAGCAACCTGCTCCGGTGTGGGGTCCCCCACGGGCTGCAGGGGGGCATCTGCTCCACCTGTCCTCCGTGGGCTGCAGGGGGTCTCTGCTCTGGCACACCTCCGGCCTTTCCTCCTCCTTTCTTCCACTGACCTCAGTGTTTGCAGAGGTATGTCCCTCAACTCCTCCTACCAGGTTCCCCTTCTTAAATATGCTATTGCAGAGGTACAGCTGCCATCGCTGATGGGCTTAGCCTTGGCCAGAGGCAGGTCTGACTGGAGCCAGGGAAACTTCTAGAAGCTTCTCACAGGGGCCACTGCTGTAGCCACTCCCCTGCTACCAAAACCCCACCACACACACAAACCCAGCACAGCTCTTAACATGAGACGGTGATTAATGATTGTTGACTAGTGGTAGTTGGCATTTAAGAATTTGTGAATGTTCTTTTTTATTAAAGTCATGGCAAATACTAGGCAGCGTGGTTTTCCATGGCTCATCCAGAAAACTGTTACACTAGGATGTGATACGCCACCTGTCTGAGGTTAAAAGTACCTGTGTGAGCAGTGACGGGAGCTCAGCTGATGTGCAGTACCTTGCCAAGCACGGGTGATGTGGTTTTGTGGAGTCTCCCTCCTTAAAAATATTTTAAAAATCACAGTCACGGTCCTGGGCAAGCGGCTCCTTGTAGCCCTGCCTGAGCAGGGGGGTTGGTCTCCAGAGGTCCAAGCTCAGCCATTCTGTGGATTCTGTGTTTGAGCCCTTAGCCCCAGTTCAGGCTGAAGGGTTTATATACATGTACACAATAAGGCTAAAGCAAACTGTTGTTAATATTTTAACAACAACCTAAATGGTAACATCCTTGCTTTATGGGAATTTCTGTTTTATAAGCCTCTTCTACATTCGTGCCTACCTGTGGTTTTTACCCCACCTTGTTTATGACCACCATGTAGTTAATTATATGTATGCTTTGACTGGTTCAGTTAGTCTATATTACAATTGCATCTGCAAGTGAGACCTCATTTTTTGGAGAAGGGAGATAGAAGAGCAAGAGTGATTCCTGCAAGCAAGCTACTGGTTTTTTTTAAATTGTGTTTCTCTCACTTATGTTCTTAAAAGTGTGATTTTTTTTACATGTATTGTTATTATTATGTTTTTTCTTTCAGTATATCAAGAAGTTTTACAATGAAACTTGGGAAAGAAGATATGGCTTCTCAGTGGATGAAAGCACACTGACTCTTCTTTGGTCCATAACTGTTTCTATTTTTGCCATTGGTGGCCTCGTGGGTGCCATTATAGTTACTCCAATTGTGAAGTTCTTCGGACGGTAAGTGTATTGAAAAACTTGTATTTTCTAAAGCAGTTTCTCACTTAATCTCTTTAGAAGGCTTGACTTTTATTTTTTTAGAAAACCCTCTTCACCAGAATGCGAATTTAAACATCTTCAGATTATGAATGCTCATTTCTAAGAGTTCTGAATTTTTGAGAGTAAAATTAGTACCTTTCTCTCTGGACTTACCGTGCATCATTTGAGTCACAGAAGCCATTTGCTCTGAATGGGCAGTGGATTGAGATGTTGAGGAGGTTGAATTGTCAAGAGTGCAAAAGGAAAATACTATAGAATAGGAAAAATTTCACAAAGGATTGGCAGATTCATGAGTCTGACGAGTATCTCACTGTACACAAATAAGCTATCAACATGTCTCATTTGCTTCTCAACAACATTTGTTGTTACGCAGTAATAAAAATTTCCTCTTTTTAGTTTTTCTTCCTTGTGTCCACTTAAAGTACAGTTTGAAGAACTAAATGAGGGTGAAGTTTGTGTTTGGTCTTCCCCCAGCTTGGGGATGCCTTGGGGATGCCTGATCTATATAATGCAGTTTTTGACCAAGTCTTGACCATAGGGAATATGAGTATTTTAGGAATGTTTGTGCTGGTGTGTGTTTGCATTTTTGCTGCAGGTATTAACTAGATATTTCTGTCAAATATTTGTTTCATACAGTTTCCAAAAAGAATTTCAGAAGTAATTTGTAATTTACCTATATTTAGAAGGGCATAGAAAAAGAAAAAACGTTATAGTATTCACTTTAACTGCTCATTTGGCTTTTCCTTAATTGTAGATTCTATATAATTTGATAATTTTTCCTCAGTTAAATCACTGGAGGCTTAAATATAAGCATTCACCTCCAGTGTTCTTACTTTTCTGTTCTGACTATTTCCATCCATTTAGACTGGCTTTCCTAGGCCTGTTTGTCATTCTCCCAACTCTTCCACATCCCATTTTTTTTACCTCAAAGGGTACATTTTCAGATTCTTCCATGTCATGCTTACAGAAAGTCGGTATTCTCTGCTCTGTAAATCTATTATCCATTCTTCATTTATTTATTCTGTCCCTTCACTTCACCATTTGATTTTCAATTTTAAAATATTTTGTGAAATAAAAGATGGGCTCATAGAAGCCTTGAATTTTTGGTAAAGGGAAGAACAGCTTTGTGTGCAGGTTTGTTAAAGTGGTGTCTGATCTCAGTCATACCACTTTGATGGGATCAGATCATATTTCAAGGGCAGAGCTTTAAGTCTTGCAGACTCTGCCCCTGTTTATTATTTTTATAACTGTTAAACCATGAAAACAGCTCTTTTATAGATATGGTGTACAAGTACTTGATTATAGATGGGAAGGGATTGCATCACGCAGAGACAGTGGATAAAGGCAGCTCATCAAAGTCTGGTTCTTGAATTTGCTGTTCACACAGCGGTGTGTTCGTTTGGTCTAGGAAACCAGACTGACATATTGGTTCGGTAATTGAGGAGCACATTATTAAATGTTGACAGAACAATAAAATACTTTGCTGCTAAATTGTTGAAGTGTAGGTTGGAGCGTTGTATGCATGATGAAGCTGAGCTCCATTTACACTGACACAGAATAATGAACTAAGGGGGATCAAAAGCATTAGTCACAAATAATGTATGACTTTAAAAGAGCACTCTTGAATCATACTGCACTAAGGTTAATAACATAATTTCCAAATTACTGGATTGCTAGGCCCTACTTAGTTCAAGAGAGATGTAGAGTAATTTTTTGAAAGAGAGCCTTCATCCACATAAGCCTAAATCCCATGTTCAAATGTGTCTTTGACACTTCACAGCAGTATGCTCATTGGATTGCTTAGCCCACTGCTGGGGAGACATTGGCAAGAGAGGCATTCCCTCAAGCACAGTGAACTGTTTTGAGTATGAAGTGATTAAGGGAATTTGTCTGGATTACCTTAGTAATGCTACAACTTTGTTATCCTGAAGTCATCTGCTGTAGTTAAAATGCTGACAATATTCAATCTGTTAGTGGCTTTTAGTTAAACACCTAGTTTGTTTATTTAAACACCTAATTTCCTTACAGTGCTGTTTGTATAAGGTATTATATTTGCTCCCAAGTGGAGCTTTTAGAGTTTTTATTACTGAATTTTGAGACAACAATACATTTTTGATGAAACTTTAATTCTGTCGTTTTCCTAGCTGCAGGTTTTAGACAAAAATATTATTAATTTAAATCCCTAATTAAAGCTGTTGCAGCCATGGAGGGCACGTAGTTGCTAGGATTCTATTCTGGCCTCTGGAACTGTCCAGTATCATGAAAACAAACAACAACCTGAAATCACAAAAGATTAATCATATGTGATTTTTCAAAAAGCCAAGGACAATTCTGAGGAAGAGATTTTCAAGTTATTTCAATATCCAAAATGCCTAAAAAAAGAAAAAGGCAAAAAAAATCCTTAAAGCTTAGCTGTATTTGTGTCTAGCTGATGGGTTAACTGTCTGTCTCTGCTGAGATGCTTATAAAAGCTGATTTCCACTGAGCTAATTTCTGTTCTCTTAGGAGTACTTCAGACTGAGTACAGGATTGGAAGTTACGTTTCGGCAGCAGTACAGATAGTCTGAGAACCATTTTTGACAACAAGCTGCAAAACTTACTTCTTGGCTTAGGATGTAGCTGCTTGTGACAAATGCTCTGTGCTCAATCAGAAGTTTTTGAAAGCATTTTCCTTTTGGATTGCATAAATATTTTATTTCTTTTGGCTGGAGAGAATTCTGAATTATTTGAATGGAAGGAACAAAAATCTTCATGTATAAACAAATGCTCATCTAGTATTTTGAGTGCAGTAGCTGCAGCAGAATGGTGTGGGGCTCTGCACTGGAACTTGAGAGACCAGTTCTCCGTTTCCCAGGTCTAGCACTGTTTTGCATGTTAGCTTTAGGTTAGGTCCACTGCTCTATCTATTCCTCTGTTTACCCAGTTACAGAAATAGGGCTGTTGACACACTCTATAACCTTCAGCAGGACTGAAAAATGAAATGTGCTGTGTGAGAACTAGGTATGATATTTATACTTCACTAGGTTTCATGTACCGTTTGTACTGCTTGACCAGGTTCTGAGATGTGAGAGCAACGGTTAGGCTGACCAATGTCTTTTCTTAAGGTGGCTTTAATGTTGAAGTTTGCATGCTTACACTTTCTAAGTGTGGTGAGCACAGTTATCTGACAAGATTGGTTCTTTGATTGTTTTTTTTCAAAGTAAAGGTGTCTGCTGTGGTGCTTTTTGAAGTGTGGTGTCTTTATATCACTTATATTAGAGCTATACAAGCAGTGGTTTGTTGGGGTTTTTTGATTTCTTCTTCCTGTGCCTTGTTGCTAAGGTAATAATACAGTTTTGGCCTATGTGACCAGGAAAGCATAGGGGGTTTTTTATGATTGTAGCAATTTTGAATATGACCCAGCTAGAAGTAAATTCAGACAGTATGGGGAGTTTGAAGAGTTTCGCTGTTTTTTTTTTCTTAGGAGCTATGATGAGAAGTTGTTCCTACTGTTTATGGTTGTTGTAGCTTGGCCCCAGCTGTCAGCTGAACACCCACCCAGCTGCTTGTCACTTCCAAACCCCAAGTGGGCTGGAGTGACTGGGAAGAACTAAGAGAAACAGGAGCAAGACCATTCATGGGTCTAACTAAAAAAAGGGAAAACATCCATTACTGTCACAGGCAAAACAGGCTCAACTTGGGGAATTTAATTTATTGCCAGTTAGCATAAGTATTTAATTACTGATCAGGTATTGTGAAACAAGACAAACATTAGGTTACCTTTCCTTCTACTTTCCCAGGCTGAACATCACTCCAGGCTCCCCTACTCCCTCTTTGTACCACAGCAGGTCACACTCAGTCTCTTCAGTGAGAGAATGGAGAGTGTAGGGGGTTGGGGTTAGCGTGTAACAACTTCTCTGTGCCGCTCCTTGCTTCTTACTCTTCTCGTATGCTCCAGTGTGAGTCCTCCGTGGGCCACAGTCCCCCTGGGGATGTATCTGCTCAGTCCTGCTGCACTTTCTCCTCCACTGACCTTCTTACTCCCTCATTCTGTCTCCTTATAGAAGCCACCCCTGCAGCCCCTTCACTTCCAAAACCTTGTCATAGACACCCAGCACAGTGTTTTTATCACCAAAAATTCAAATGCTTTACATAGTAACACTCTAAACAATGTGTTACTTCCTTGTTTTCTTTTTTTTTTTTCCAATCTGGGAAGGACAAAATTACTTGTTTTTATCTTGGTTAGTTAGGCTTTGCTTTTCTGCTTTTTGATGCATAGCATAAGGGGTCACTGGCTAACTTTTCTAAGAAGATACATATTTTGTAGGTTTCATTTAAATTAAAGAAGAGGAAAGTAGTATCTTCAATTGAATGTATAGCACTTGTGTGACCTTTTTCCATTTTTGGCATTATTTATATCACTTCAACCCACCCAAATTATCTTGTTTTGAAAAATCTGTTTCAAATGGTAAAATCATCACTCTTGACAGCTATGTTGTATAAATATATACTTTAAATGAGCTGTATCTCATCTTTTGATCTTCAAACCATGTTATTCATTTAGTGTTCAAAAGTCACTAGAAATCAGGAAAAGTAATTAAAAATATAAGTATTAAAAATATTTCCTGTCAGAAATGTACTGGAGTGTTATAAGAAGTTGGATGTCTTGTTCAAAGGGTGGGAGATTTCCAGTTGGTACCTATGTGTCAATGAATGAGGACTGCTGGGTCAGTTTGTTATAAGGTTTGTGAAAGAAAAGGGTAGACAGCCTTTTTGGTCATTCCTCTTCTTTTGCGTGGTATTTACAATACATAGAGATTGAAAATCCCTCGAGAATACTTACAAATTTAATACCACTTCAGTTTTTTAATAAAATGGGTGTATTCTCAGCCTGTGTCATTTACCATCAAAGTTAATGGATTTCTCGTAATTTACATCATCAGTGATGTTGTAACTCCAGGTAAGTTTGTTTTCAGATCAGTTGTTACCTTCATACGTTGTTGTGTGATTTGAGGCTTCAGTGTTGGGTTGTACCTCTAGAGCCAAGTTGTACCTTTAGAAACAACACTGTGCTTAATTATGTGACTGCAAAACCTTGTAAAGACAAAGCTTTACCGTGTGTATGAGGTGACTCACAGATGGAAAACATAGGGTATGATCATTCTCTTGCCACATAATTGTGAAAATTATGGTGTTTTGTCTTGTGTTGGATCATAAGCAATTGAAAGCATTTATCTTGTTGTGATGTGCTGTACAGAGGCCACCACATTTCCAGCAGATATCCCTGGCACTCTGCCTAGGAATCGTAAGAAATTTTTCAGTTGCTCGCAAGGCTGAACCTGATGATAATGGCTTCTCCAGCCATTCACTTGCAGGCTGCCATTTAGCAAAAAGCCACTTAAATCCAAATTCATGGAGATATGTGTATAAGGTAGCAGTGAATCTTTGAGTTCTGGGTGGGTTTTCTACTTCATCTTTCAATAGAGTCATTGCAGCAGAGCTATTGATCTTATATCTTTAACCACTCTTCTTCCATGTGTTCAGGAAATGAGACCTTGGATGTCAGTGTTTGAGTCTGACTGTCAAAAGCCCATGAAATCCTACATATTTCTTTTGTAAAGTATTTATTTCTGAAGAAGCTATGAGACTTTGGAGTCACTTTTGATTAATCAGGCCTTTAAACTTGAACAGAAAGTTCTGAAAGGTGAAAACTAAGAAGTACAGCTGTACAGCTGTTGGTACAGTATGAATGAAAAATTGAGAAGTTTTGTAATTTTTAAAATACATTTTTGTAATTTTGTTTATTTTTTTCCAACAAAGTAATAATTTTCAGTAAAGAATCTTAGATTTTTTTTTTTTCATGTTTTATTTGACTGCTATAGAATGAAATAATTTAAAAATTGGGGAAAAAAATGTAAACCTGTATTTTGGTTAATTTCAACAATTTTTGGAAAAGGGTTGATTTTTATCACTCATGTGAGCCCAAGTGTTTTCTCTAACTCTACAAGTATTAAGTAATTTTCCTTAATGTATGTTTTTAATATCATGAATTTAAGGGTGAATTATAGTGACATAAATATGTCAGTGTGGGTAGTTCTCGAAATCGTAAAAACTGCGTATGGCATAAAAATGCCTGTAGTTATATCAGCTTATTGCTATTTGAAGTATATTCTCTGGTTTCTACATACATACATTTACCCAGAGTTCGCTTGTTTATATTTATATACAGAGTCTCAGGGATGGTGCTTAGGTTCTTAGGATGTGTAGGATGGCTAATTGTCATGCCTTTGAAGTACAGCTCTTTAACTATGATATGTTTTATTTTAAAGCTGTGGTATAGGTTTGGAACTGTATCCATTTGGGTATAGTATTCTATTTTGGAACTCTGCATCTAAGAGGAAGTATTTGTTAGGCGCTTTTTGTTTTTATTTAGGGTTATTTAAGAATAATAGCCTAGCACATGACTAGATTTAACTGTTGTGATGCTGATATCTACATAAAATATCTTTTCCTTTTAGGAAATGTACGTTGCTGCTCAATAATGTATTTGCGGTGACAGCTGCATTGTTGATGTCCTTCTCCTTGTTGGCAGGATCATTTGAAATGCTCATATTGGGCCGCATTATAATGGGTGTTGATGCAGGTAAGCTTTTATCATGCTGTATATATCTGAAATGCTTCCACCATGCATAATTCTTCTCCTTTCCCCCAGTTAGATCTTTCTGTACATTAAAGAGGCTACTTTTAGGCTTACATTTCAGGGACTAGCCACACTGATTTCACTAAACGTCAGAGGATCTGATGTTTGGAGAAGACACTGGAATGGATGCTAGCTGCTGTGTCCACCTTGGTTGTTGTTCCTCCTTTCCTCCTCTGGCCCCAGCAGAGCATATCTGTATTCATGCTATGAAAATCCTTTGGCTAAGAGGGTGTAGTCTATTTCTTAAAGCTGCTTGCTGCTTTGTGTTTAGAAGTTTTTGGATCTCATGCTAGTATCAGTACGATTAAGTAAAGGTTTGGTACGTCATCATTTGCTCCTAGCAACATGGTCTTCCCCCTTTAAAAGTAAACCATGGAGACACTGCTGCACCAGAATAGTCTAGCAGTGAGGGTCTCGGCAACTTCACAGATCTCTAAATGGCAAGTAATGTTTACCTAATGTGGAGGCAGACTTGATGAATTAAGATAGTTTTACACTCTCAGTGTAATTGCGTGACTCTAAATGGAAAGTGCCTTGACTTTTGCATCACTGAGCCCCCTTTCTGGCAAGCTTTGGCTATGTTTATAGTAAGAACAAACTATGCTGTGTTGAAAGTGCATGTGTCTATCACATGCAGTATGAAGTTCATAGGTAATTTTGGTGCTGACTGCTAATTTTTGTCTCAGATTACCACCAAGTGACCAAACTTCTGGAGCTGTATAAATGTCATCAGTGTACTAACCAGGGTTGTGCATTTGTTTTCTCCTGGCTCCAAGCAGCATTCTCATGCTTACTTTATGCCTGCTATTAGGAGTTCATTGCAGCTGTAAACCTGTATTGAGAGAAACATCTGCTAATACCATTTACAGTAAAAATATTTTATCTGACAGTGTCTGCTCTGTGCCTGATGCATTGGGGTGCTTTTTCCTTACTTGCACCAGTGCTAACGTGATTTTGCTTGCTTTGGGATGAGCAAATTAAAACAAAATCTGTTCTCCTGGTGATTCTCGTCACAGAGTAACCTTTGGTGCTTCTCATCAAATAGCGGTCTACGCACATCACTAAATTTGTAACAGATAATCCCATGGTTATTAAATGATGCAAGAGTAATTAGATATGCAGAGAAGATAATTCATATTATCTGTGGATAGATTTAATTCTGTTCTCTGCATGGTTTTATGCCACTCTTGTGAGCAGATTAGCACTCAGACTGCTTTCAGTAGATGTTTGTTTTGTACCTGGCATAATGAAAAGGCTATGTTTTTTTTCCTTCCTTTGTAGGCATTTCTCTGAGTGCCCTTCCCATGTATTTGAGTGAAATATCTCCTAAGGAAATCCGTGGTTCACTGGGTCAGGTCACAGCGATTTTCATCTGTGTTGGTGTTTTTACTGGTCAAGTTTTGGGACTGCCAGAAATATTTGGACAAGTAAGTATTTAACAGATGTTTTCTGTGGAAGAACACAAGAATGCCTGAAGTTTTATATTTTCATATTTTGACTTGAGTTCCTTACAGAAGTGGAAAACAGAAACATTGTTTTTTGGTTTTGAAGCACTTTGAGGAGTGGTTTCTTCCACATCTTTTAAAAGCATGTATGTGTGACTAAGTTTGGTAGATGTGGCAAACAGTTCTAACAGCTTGAGCAACTTGTGTGTGGGCATATGCAGGTTCCCCCTGCTCCTTTCTTGATTTACATTTATTTTTGCTGGTTTCCAGTTTCTTTGAGTAACATGGAAGTGCTTAAGAGTTCTTGCATTTTTCATTTATAATTTTTCAGTGTGATAGAACTGGAAAAATCCTGATTAGATTTCATATGAGGATCTGAATAGGAAGACTCTTGCTCAATGATTATAGTGTTCCTTGTAATGCACTCCTAATTTTAGACTAGGAGGTGGAATAGCAGAGTTAATATATACCTTTATGGAAAGAGACTATCTATTCTGATACAAAAAGTTATGTCATAGGTTGAGATTAACTTGGTGGCCACTGGATGTCGTCATTACTCTGAATAAATGAAGTCAAGGTTTATTCAAGCTGGCACTTGGAAATACTTTTCATCCAGAGATGAATCTTCAAGATGGTGTGGAGGAAACATCTGCAGCAATCTTCTTGCAGTGAAACCTGACCTAAGAATCCTTTCTGACAGCCAGCAAGAGTAGTAAACAGTTGAAAAGTGAGCAGAGCATGTCTTCCTCCTGTGTCCATCCAAATTCAACTCCTTTGTAAATACAAAATACCGTCCTCCCTGACACTTTTATTTTTGGCTGAACAGCTCTCCTATTCTGTCCCTTTATCCTTGGGCTCACTTACCCTGTTTAGCTCTCCTGAAGGCAAATGGTTTTATTCAGTTTAACCTTTACTGAAGGACAGATTACTCCCCCCCAGCCAAAGCAAGAGATTTTAGGAAAAAGCTTAAAATGGCTTTCACTGACCTTCATTGTGTGGCTTCTACCGATCTCCCTTCTTTTGCTTTGAATGCTGTTCTGTTACAAATGAGCATATTAAATGTCAAGAGACTGATTCAACTGCTTAGAATATATGTCAGCCCTTATATAGTAGGGGTTTTTTGGTTTGGTTTTGTTGTGTTGTTGGGGTGGTTTTTTTAATATGCATACACTTTTAAAGGTGAGGTGTCATGCAAATTCTTATTTCCCTGTTAGGTCTTTGGGATATTTTGAATAGGACATACTTATTCCTTGATTTCAGTTCACTCTCGCTCTTTTTATTCTCTTCTCTCCTTCCCTTTCTCCCAATTGTTGTCACTACTGAACTAGGGTTGCATTTCTGCTTCTACAGCCTGCTTTAGTATGCAGTTAATTAATATTAAACCATTACATATAGCCATTAATTTATGGAGGAAGCAATATACTTTATCTAATTTACAGAATTAGTTCTTTTCAAGATGGGTAACATCAGCATGTAAAATGAGCAAAGTTTTGGCTGCTAAAAATTAGCATATTTCCAGCAAAATTATTGGATCCAGCTTGAATTTTCCAGTTGGGTATGTGGGTGTATTTTTCTTTTGATGTATTAATAAAATATAGCGCAGAGAGGAAACCTCAGGCTGTTTGAAATATGATTCCCTAGTGCAGCCTTATCCTGCTTGGAAGGCCTTCAGTCAAGCCAGGATTTTCTTGTCTAGCTTCATGTGGTTCCCATTGAAGTCAGTGGGAGCTTTGCACCAGGAACAGCAGTCATTGCAAGAGGACATTTCTGCAGAGGATATGTGTGATGAGTTACTCATTTGTGTTGAAGCTGGGAGGTGACAGACATGGTGTCCTTCCGAGTTCTTTAGTCCTTACAACACTTTCCCCTCCCCAGCAAACACCTTGCTCAAATTTCTGTCACTTTGTTCAGTCAAGTTCAAAAGTAGGTTCAAGATGTTTGCAGGCTGTTTTCTAGTTGTAGGCTTCTCTTTGATGGATGTTGTGACTTCTCTTCACTAATGATGTAAAAGCTTCTTATCAAATCATTCCCATATTTTATTTTTTTTTATCCTCCCTTTTCTTCTGTTGGAGATGAAGTTAAGCCAGTACTCCAGGTCCACAGCCACCGTATTTTGGAGACAGCTCTATCTTCATGGTGTCTTACTGATCTCAGCTGTAACTGGAAGGCAAACTCTTGCTTTCCTCAGAAGCCTGAGGTCATTTGCATTATACTTAAGCCATTCTGTAATATGGCAATCTGTGGTTGAATTCTACCCTTGTCAATTCATAAACTGCTTAAAGCAAATAGACAAGAAAGTTGTGATGAGTAGGAGCTTGTCACCAGTGATCACCATTCTGCACAACTGCTTTGGAAAAACACCTTTAAGTCTGTCTAACAATGTCCAGCATTTTAATGACTGTGGGGTAGAACCTCACAGGAATATTTTTTTGTTGCTCTGTGGTTGTTGATTGTTTCTATCAGAATTTGTTGTAAATAATACTAGTTCAAATACTTCTCTTCTTTCATGGTTTCATAACAGTTTTCTCCTGGGCTCTTATCTATTATGTGTCACTTGAGCAAGTATCTAAGAGGTTATTAACCATAGTGTCTAAGCAGTGATGTTTTTGAAGAAAGGAGGGGCAAAGACCAAGTTGGACATCTTGCTGGAAGAGATTCTTTGGAACAGGAATGGATGTGGGGAGGTCTGCTGGCATGGCCGAGGTCCTGCCTTGTGAGAGGAGGTGACAGCAACATTGCTTGTGTGGCCAGGTACATAGAGATAAGGGAGAGGAACTGACTGCACCAGGTTAACACGAGAAAGAAGAACTGCAGAAGGAACAGAGAGATTTAATCTCAAGGACAATATTGTTACAAGAATAACTTTTTATAAATGTACTGTGAATAATTGTATGCCAAAATTCAGCAGAGTGATGTTTGGAACAGACTCCCGGCTGAAGTAGCTTGAGCAGAAAATTTAACTTTTAAATTGGAACTCAATGCATTTATCTGGATTATATGAGGTTGTTGCCTTCAGCGGTTCTGTAGAAGTCTCTCCACAGAAAAAAAGTGTTTATGTAGGCTGTGGGGCATAGCCTTACAAGCATTTCTTAACAACCTAATTGATAACTTCCTCTGTTACTGAATGCAACAGTGTTCCTTTAAACGTGGAATTGTGATAAAAATAGGTCTGAAGCACTGAGTATTATTTACTTGAGGCAATTCGGAAAGTCCTTAATGCTTTTTGTGTCAAGTAGGTTAAGCAGGCCCAAAGTGATTTTTTTAGTAATGTTATTTATGAAGACCAGCCCAGGTGAAGCAGGAGGCATGTGAGCAGCCCCGGGTTCCATGCTGGGGGGCAGTGGTCAGCCTTGGCTGTGTTACTGTCTCAAAACTGGTTGGCTTTTTCCTATTCCTTCAGCTTTCCCAAGTTTTCTACTGGAAGTGCTGAGGATTAACAATCTTTTAATTTTCTTCTAATACCTTTTTCATGCCAGTTCTGTCAACTTAGTCTCATTATTCTTTTGGTCAACTGTTATTTATCCCTTAATATCTTTCTCTCTTCC